TCATATAAACAACAAATACATTTAAAAAATTGTAAATAAAAATATTTTAAATATTTATAATGTGTATAATATAATATATATATATATATATATAATATGTTACAAAAGATTTCCATTTCAAATAAATGCTGTTCTTATATACTTATATACTTTCTACTCATCAAAGAATTTTGCAATATAGTAATATTTCACAGTATTTTTGATCAAATAAATGTTCAAATAAACATTATAAACTCTTACAGATACAAACTTTTAAATGGTAGAGTATACATTTAAAGAAAATAAATTAGACATAAAAAAAAGACTATTTTAGATTTTAAAAAAAGATACAGATAGACTGATCTGACTCGCTCAACTTTGTTGATGACTTTTAAATGGCAGTGCATAAATTTAAAGAAAAAAATTTGACATTTTTAGAAAAAAAAAAAAAAGACTTTTAAAAGTTATATAATATTTTCTCATTATATGTATATGATTAGCCCTTTAAACACATTATACAAATACATAAATCTTTACTATATGAAATGAAATTTGCCAGTGATACGGACCAATCAGACGAGGCCCACAGGTCGACCGCTATCAGACCGGCTCGGATGCTCTGGACCGTTTCTGATGGGACTTCTGGACTGTCCAAAAACCCCACGACCTGCTTAATGACACCAGCGTCTCGTAAGATCAGACCGAAGAGCACACACCACTCCAGACAGCCGGCCTCCATGAAGACGTGCAGCAGATACCTGACAGAAGCACAGCAGCGTCTCATCAGCATCGACTCAAACTGCTGGGTGAATGTCTGAACTCTTGTCAGTGAGTGGATCACCAGACTCACCGCAGCTGCACCTGACTCTTATGCGGCCCTTTATTGGCCAGCTCCATGGAGATGTGCTCCAGCTCTGATTGGCTGAGACTGAGGGTGGAGAAATTCTCATCCACCATCGTCCAATCACCATCCACCATGGAGCTGGTCTCAGTGAGGTCCGTGGCTGAACCGATGCTGTACTCCTCTCCTGATAAACAGAGAAAAACATTAGACAGATAGAGAGAGAGACAGACTGATCTTACTCGCTCACCTTTGTTAATGAGAGGAGAGAGAAAGGCCTCCTGCGTCTGCGGTGCTCCGTGAGAGGAGGCGGAGTCCAGTTCCTTTGACACCGCCCCCAAGCCGTCCAGCCATCTGTGATTGGCTGTGGTGACCTGAGGGGGCGTGGTGTCCATGTCACTGTTCAGCAAACTGTCCGCAGACTGAGACTTCAGCAAACGAGAACTCAACACTGCGATGAGAGAGATGATCATGTGACTGGTCAGTCATAACAGCTCATTAAATCTTAAAGGTGCAGCAGTTACAAACACAGCCTGTTTAAATGTATGACTAACATTGTATTTTGACCGTAGTGGAAAAAAATATAGATGAGAGATATATA